TGGTTGTACATACGAACCTCCTAAAGCGCTTTTTCAGCAATGGTACGACAATAGGACGTCAAACCTATGGTCAAGGCTCTGAGAGCGTACGCTACGCAGAAAGATATTGGGCGTCGACATGACGAGTCGCCAAAGTCAGACCGACGAATAGACTGTTCTAAACTGCTTCAAGATGGTGAGACCTTGAGTTGACGCATGGAAGACAAATTTCTATCGGATTTTCAGTAACTGATAGGTGTATAGGTTATCACGAGTAGAATACAGCGAGGGGGTTAGTAACACCGAGATAAGCCATCGTGTATGTTTCGTTGGAAAATTTGTTTTTCCAACGAATTCACGAGTTGACTGCGCTGGTTAGGACGTGTGATGTAAATACTTTCAGTTTCCTCCCACACCACAGTCAATTTGCATTTGCTCTTCCACAAGGGGAAACGGTAAAAAAAACTCTGTAGTTGGGTTGCTTTCTCTTCAATCTTTTCTACATATGCATAACCTATCCGCCTAACCCCTTGATATTTAACCTGCTTATGTTATGAGCTCTGCAGCGATCAGCGGATTTTTTTCTTTTGTACCTCGCGGTACGACAGGTGATAGTATGTGACTGGTACTGAATTTGACCAAAAAGGAGTTTGTGGTCTGCATAACTGTTTAGTCAATGTATTTTCTTCGACATATCACACATAAAATACTGTAATTGCAAACACAATTACGCCATCGTAAACGAACCCGTGCACGGGATTGTACTCTCGCTATTAGTATTGTTATGATCAATCAAACGTGTTTGACGTTATTCATCTATCTCTCATAGCAAAAAAGTCTGGAACAAAAGCGAAATTTGGCAACGATTACAGAAGAAAAATACTAAATATTACTGGCTCAACTAACCTGATTCTTAGATTTGACGATCTTACGGCTATCCCGTTCAAGACGATTCATCAGATCTGCTCCGGAAGGGGGAATAGATGAGCTGTCCTTGTCCGGATGATCAGATTCATCCAGTGGGATATACTTAGGAGAGACAAGTGTACGCTGCTTTGAATGGGTAGAAATTTGGCTAGACGAAGTGGTTGTCTTTCGATCAGAACCACATTCCGGCTCAGTATCTCCATCCAGATCATCTTCTTGAGCATCGATCCCGGCGGAAGATTCGGACCAACGATGATTGACCCCAAATTCTACATAGCTATCTTCGTTTCGGCTAACATAGTTCGGACGCCTATCACGCGACTTCGAAGTATTTGTGGGTGACTTGATTGGGGAATCTGTTGCTGAGTTTTCTGACTCAGCACTTGATTCGTCGACTGCATGGAGTCTGTGAAGGTCGGTTTGAGGGTACCTTCCGTGTATTCGCGGACGTCCAGCCAGATTCATTCCCCGGCGACGTGGGTGACCCTGTAGGCGTGACCGACTTCCGCTGCCGGGTGGTCGACCCCGCGAAGCTGGTTTTATCATACCCTTGTTAGATCCTCGAGAGGTTACCAATCCGAACTCTACAGAAGATCCCCTATGTCGACCACGGCTTCGGCCTCGACGACGAACTGGACGTATGATTCCGCCTGATCTAGATGATGATGAACTAACGCGTGCAACACGGCGAAAAGTCCGGTGTGGCCAGAGCCTCCTAAA